CATAATGATATCAATGATGATAATTATTATTATCATCATAATCATTAACATTATCATCAAAATTTCATTAATCATCATCATCAATATTTCATTAATCATCATCATCAATATTTCATTAATAAACATCATTATCAATATCATTATCATTGAAAGGGAGAACATCCACAGTAAGAAATGAAAATAAAACGTGACATTATGAACTCTTCACGAGTTCCTCTTCAGAAAAGGATTTCGGTTTATTACTCGTGTGAAGAGGACCTCGTGAAGAGTTCGAAACGTCACGTTTTATTTTCACTTCATATTGTGGCTGTTTTCCTCTCCATCTCTGTGTACACATTACTGTGTTTGTGTTTGTATTAATCATCATCATTACTACTACTATTATCACTATCACCAATGTTGCCATTATTTTTAATAATTATATATATTTTTTTGTAATTGATATATTCGTTAACATTACTCTGGCGCTAAAAAATATCTTTGTCCATGTTATTTAATGAAACAAGCTTCGAAAACAATTCCATTTTGACCGTAGAGGGGATAATAGGAAAGGAAAAATTCTTAACTAAATAGAAAACTGCTTATAGTGCATGTTCAGAGATGTGGAAACTATAGCGTACAGGTCGATTGGGTTGAAGTTCAAGAAAGAAAACTGTGATAGAGGTGTTCAATATGACTGACGATCTTAAAAACAAGGTTAGTGCACCAACCATTCAACGATGATAAATTTGTCCCAGGGATAGTAAAAAAAATAAAGCTCGGTCTCTAAGAAGACAATGTGGTTTATACATATATATTTTTTCATATACATATAAATTGTTAGCACGAAGTTATACTCCCGTAAAGATGTACAGTTTGTCTAAAAGTTGCCTACCTATAAGCGTATGCTTTCGTGTGCATCTTGATTCACTTTATTGCCAACATTTAAAACAACTTCCTAAAATTAAAGTAATTGTCAGAAATAATCTGAACGCATTTTTCAGCATCGCCAACCCATTGTAGACCATTGAACAGCCCACATCATGACAACTTCGTGAACCAGATCTCAGGAAGCAAACCTTAAAACAAGGCTGAATTAGATTCAGATTAGCTCTAGAAATTAGCGCTTTTACGAGGATCATTGAGGCATTCAAACAATAAAGTCGTAATAAAAGATATCGGTCTTACGCCTCACGAGACATGGCACCTGAAGATCCTTATGTAATCAGTGTGGCAGTTGAGAGTGATTAATATTGTTATCTGTACTGTCGTTGTCTTTGGTACTATTATTGCAATCTTCTTGTGATTATGAATCGTTACCATTGTCATTACCATACTCATCATTGCTATTACCATTATCATCTTTGTCATATTATTATGACAATTATCGTCGTTATATTTTTCTCACCATCATATATATCATCATTTTGTAGATGTTAGTATTCAAAGTTCTAGTAGTGATAGAAGCATTGGCAGCAATAGTAATATTTTACATTTTTCTAGACACGTCTTAGGGGCTGACTTATACAAAGTACTGCAATCTACATTCCCGGCGACTCGGGTCATGGTGGCCAGGCATCCCTTGGACCGCCTCGTGTCTGGCTACAAGGACAAGTTCAGAAACGGGGATCAGGTCACTGGCACATGGTAAGGCTACGCGATTTGTACGTGTGTGTGTGTGTGTGTGTGTGTGTGTGTGTGTGTGGGTATGTGTGTGTGTGTGTGTGTGTGTGTCGCATCAATGGCATTTTAAATTTGTATTAAAATGGATCTTTACGAGTAGTTTCCTTGCAGGGCGAAATACATGACTATGTACAGGGTGCGTCGTGGATTCAACACAAGCAACATGACTTTAACCTTCCGCCAGTTCCTGGAAATGATTGCAAACATAATGGTAACCCACTTTTAATGCGTATTAATATTATACATACATGCATTATGTAGATGGATAAACAGACGAGATAAATAGATATACAGATTGATTGCATATGGATATATGAATATTGAAAGAGTCTAATTAATATGCATTTTAGGACAAAGGAGAAAGTCTAAGCCTCAATCAAGCACAAACTCGTACCTTTCCCTTCTTCACAAATGCGAAAAGAATTCAACCGTCAGAAAGAGAACTGGGAGATGCAAGGATGCGCCTGTTTGTCTTATATATATGTATATATATATATACATATATATGTATATATATATATATGTATGTATATATACGTATATATATACACATGTGAATGTATACTAAATAATATACATTTATGATTGATATATATATACATAAACTATAAATATATATATTAGTCATACACATACGCGCACACACGTGCGCGAGTGTGTGTCTATACATAGATAGATAGATATTCAAACTCAATATTTGTATATATGTATATATGTATATATATATATACATATTCATTTATAATATATACATAATAATATTGGAGAATAAGAAACTGTCAATTATTTCACCTAGTATTTCACAAGATACTAGGTGTTATAATAATAATACTTGTAG